GGTTTTCCATGAAGAAATGAATAAGGTAAAGAAAATTGCGTAGCCTTGGCTACTCATTATGTCTATTTTGATGTTCAAGTCATTGTGCATTGCAAAAATAGTGTATTGAAGCCTTCTTATCTATATGGATCAAGTCTCCCGATGTAAATGCAATGCGAGTGCCTTCATCCCTTACTGCCTTTCTACCCCCTAGTTAGTCCTTTTGCTCAGTGCTCTTTCCTTGAGTTCCTCCTAATGAATACTAGAACCTTAGCATTTTACATTGACACTGAGGTAGCCATTTAAACACCATACTGTCACCCCAAACCATTTCTATTTCTCTCATCTTTAGCTGCCTCTTTAATTGTCCTTTCTTTCAACCCCAATGTCAGATTTTATTTCTCCCACTTTATGATACCACCAAGCTATGATTTTATTGTTTATAGTACCATTAGAAAACCTTCATATATGAAATCAGATAGTATCTTGTTCCCAGAGAATCTGCCTTTAAGATATTTCCAGGCACTAAAATATAGAATCCAACTGAAGTATGAATACTAAACTATTTAGGGAAATGTTTAGATTACTTTAAGTCCTATGCATTACAGATAAATTAAGCATGTAGCAAAAACTGCAAATAGCCACAGAATGCAAATGTGTCATGATATCAAATGTATTATTTAAATCACATCATTATGGGTTTCGGCATAAGTTGCTCACTCTCTATTCATAGCTGCTGGATTATAATTACCTCTGGACTCTTTGCTTTGCCAAGTTGCCTGCTCCCTCTGTTCTCGCTCTCTCAAGAAACTCAAGTAACAAGCAGAATCAACACTATTCTCAACTACCCCAAATTAATAGATAATATTTCTTGGGACCTGAGACTTAAAAAAAGAAAAATCTCCCCAATTGTTGTGCACATTTCATGAAAAAACAGTTATGTTTCCTCGGAGTTAATACAGTTCTCAGAGCTTGTTTATATGTCCTTTTCCATGGGTTAAATGTATGTGAAGATCTGGTTTAATTATATAACCACCAGACAATACGAACCATTAAGCAAGCTGCCTTTTTTGATGGGGTGACCCTGGTTCTTCTCTAAGGCAAACCTTGGACAACTTGTTGGATCCTAATCTTATATCTTAGCCTTTGGTTACTCTGATTGGTCTAAATCAGGGTTTTTCAACTTTAATACTACAGACATTTTGGCCCAAAGCATTCTGCTTTATAGGATGTTTGGCAGCAGTCCTGGCCTCTATTCTGAATGCCAGTAGTAGTCTCCCCCACCCCACCAGTTGTGACAACCAAAAGTGCCTATAGAAATTGCCAAACATCTTCTGGGGAGCAAAATCACTCTTGATTGAACTCTACTAGTTAAAATAATAAAAAATAACATTAAATGTATCACATTTTCTTAATTGAGTTTCTAAAACATACTAAATCCAACACCATATTTTTGTAATTCTGCACAGTCTTCTACATTGTCAACCACACACATTTACGAAGATTAGAAATGAAAGTTACTGCTACCAAACCAAAACGTAGTAAAAAATGATTTTTCTTGCTATTATTTTGCTTGGAAGAAGAGTTAAAGGAACAAATTCCTTTCAATAGAAAAAAGAGATTTACCTTCATTCAAAAGTCATTTTTATTTTCATATAAAGTAAAAGATACGATCGATCATTAATTATTTAGGATAAAAATGAAGGTCCACAATTATAGCTATCAAGAACCCTTATTGGCATGATTTCATGTATAACATTCAGTACAATTGGTACAGAAAGCAAAATTAAAGGCAGTAGTAATCTTCACTTTTAAATATCACAATCACATTTACCCTCTGACTGTCTCTATCACTTATATTATAGGTCAGATGTAATGACTCCCCAAAGCACCATGTGGGCAGATAATAAGAAGCAACACATAAGAAGGTTGTTGAGGTATCACTAAGTTCAATTCTAATACCCGTAAATTGTGTTGATCTTCCTTGGGAAATGATATAAGTCAGGAAGAACAATTCCACCAACATGTCACAAGGATTTATTAATCACAAGATTTTCTCCTGGAGATAGTAAAGTGCTTCTCATTTTTCTGACCCAAAAATGCAGCAGGTGGAATTGGGCAATTCAGTAAATGCAATGCTCATTGCACTGCTAACAGATTAGTGATGGTATTTTAACCCCAAGGTGAAGACCGAAGCTAAATCCACAATAATATGTGAAAACTCCTAAGATTAAATGGAGATGCAGAGTACTAAGAGACTCGCCTAAAGTCACAGAACTGTTCAATAGAAGATGAAGGCTTGCCATGCCAGCAATTAGAGTTATAGAATTCTAGTGCTAGAAGGGATTTAACAATCATCTGATCAAATCTCATTTTACAGTTGAGGAAACTGAGGCCAAAAGAACTGATATATTTTGCCCTCCAAAAATCACAGCGAAGTAGTGTCAGAACTGGGCAGGCAGCCCAGTTCTTCTGAACTTCAGCCATGTAACTCTTTCCACAAGACCAGAGGGAGCTCCTAGGAACTGCTGCATATAAGTAAGCTGTTTTGTAATGATACTGTAGATTCCTATGCCAAACCTTTCCCCTCTTTGCAGTCATCTGTCTGCATGATGGTTAATAAAGCAGCAGCATGGAATTACTTTTATGGCAAACAGTTCAGTGGAGTGCTCTTATCAGCCTGGGTGAGGACGCTCCCTGAACCCTCCTCCTCTAATCCTGATCCCTCGGTAGGCAGGGGGAGATGATCTTGAGACATTTGCTTTGGAAAAAAATTGGGAAGAAGACAAAGTGTTGTTCACCACCTTCAGTTCTCTTTTATCTTGTTCACTCCAAGTGCCCAAAGGTGCCAAGTCAACTCCTTGGCTGCCCAAAGCCCCTTCCAAATTCCCAGAGATGCCTTTCATAGACCAAGCCCTATGTTTAATGTCTTTTTTTCCCACCACTTCTTACTTAGCTTCATTTAATTGTACTGAGCCCAAGATAAGATTGAGATACTTTGGAAGGTAAAGACTTGTGGTGTTTCCTTAAATTTACCACAGAGATGGCTTCCCACTCTATGTACTTTGAGGATTGGTGTTGTAGTCTTTGGTAGATGTAGAATATCATTGTATTCTGTATTCATTTTGTTTGGCAATGATTAGAAATCCAAGTGATTATGTTCATCAGTGGAAATGAAAGTTCAGAAATCCTGACAAAATATCTGAGGCTATAGATTTAGGGTTATTAAATAAAAGTTAACTGGTCATTAGATGTGAAAGTGGGTGAGATCTTTGAGGGGAAAGTATATAGAGAATATTACAGAACATAAAGACGAGATCATTTGTTATTCATATATTTAGAAGTTGGGAAAAGAGAAAGAAATCAACAAAAAAGACAAAGAGCAACGAAGGCTGTAAGAGAAACACATTGAGAATGGGATGTGTTATAGTGAATTAGATCAATCGCCCAGCCTTTTTGCCAGAATTAATCAGATTGATGCAAATATGCCCTACCTGTGCTGAAATATATAGATTAACTACCTTTTTGTAGAAATACACACATGTATACACACTCTCACACACACTGTTTCTACTGGCAGAAAAGTAAACACAGTTTCATGGTAGGGAAATATGAAAGAAAAGTTGGTATATATGAATGTTGGGGAACCATTATCATAAGGGAAAACTAGTAGATCTAGGAACGTATAACTCAGTGAGATTTAGAAGGAATATTTATAAAATTCATAATGATTTAGAGACTGAAAGCTTATTTGCATTCGAAATTAAGGCAGAAATGCCAAAAGCCAACATGATTTGCTCAGAAAAACTTGTATTAAACTCATCTTATTTTTCTCTCTGAGATGATTATTTACTGGGCAGTTCTAGACTAGTGTCATAGACAAAATTTATTATGGTTTCAGGAAGTCATTTGATAAACACACTCATGTTATCTCTTTTAAGTGGGAAAATGTGAGCTGAATGAGAGTTTGGTCTGGTGATAATTGTACCCAAGTGTCAAGTAGTTCATCAATGTCACCCTGGAAGACAGCTTTCCTTGCCTGGGGTAGACATCTGGCCTTGCTTAACCTATGCAGTGTTCAACATTTTTATCAATGATATTAATGGTCAAAGAAAGTACGAGATTTTAGTTGTTTAAAAACTTGGTATAAATTCATAGTCCCATGTGGTTCTTACAAAAACAAAAAAATAGTACAATCACTTTAATAAAAGTATATATAGATCAAAGAGATAATTTGGTTGCTTCCCATTCTGGAAAGTAAATGAATCCTGGAAATAAACATATTTAGAGGGAATATTAATAAGTTGAAAAGTTCCTAAAAAAAAGATTTGAGAAAAATCGCTTTCTCTTATTGCCAGAAGTTATCAGGTAGTGTTATTTTCTGCAGAAAGTATTTTTTATGCTTTAGGAGTTGTAGGGAGTGAAAAATAATACTCTTGGATTGCCTTTTTGAGTTTGGCACAGTCTGAGAGGGAGACTCAGCAGTCAGGAATCAGTAACCAGTAAAAGCTGGATTGGAGGACACGACTAGGACTTATGTAGAGGGTTTCCCAAAACTTCATCTCTGATTTAGACATTTTTGTCTACCCAACCACTTGGGTGCATAGCTAGACAACCACAGGCTTCCTGTCTAGGGGTTTTTCATGCCGTATAGCCAATGTAAACGCACCCATTTGGTGGAAGGCAGATCTGAAACCAAGAACATCAAAGAGAGAGCTGCGATTGTTGGGTCTCTTCTACTAAACCCACAATTAGGTAAGTCAGTTCCTCTCCAGGAGGGAGTGAGGAGTCGGGAGACTGGCCTGGACTTTTATTCTAGTTTCCCTCCTAAATTTTTTGAAAATGTTCACACATTTTAAAAACATTATTCTTTCTGGAGAGCCATAGGTTACTCAAAGAAGTCATTAAAGAGTTGCCTGCCCCTGGGCAATCCTTACATCAACAAATGTCTCTGCTTCCCTGTGAAGCAGGTCATAGCAGTTGGACCAGGACCTCCAGAAGGTGGTCAGGATGATGAAAGTTCAAAGACAGAGACAGTGGGGCTGTGGGACCAGTTCTCCCAATGGTAAAGGTGAGCAGACGGACCTCTCTGCTACTCCAGGAGGCCAGTATCCACTGGTGGGTACTGAGAGACGGCAGCTCTTTGCTAAATATAGAAAGAGATTCTTAAGACAAGTAAAGCATAGAATTATCTCCAAAGAAAGCACCTTCAGGAAAAGTGTGCAAACAGAGGCTGCCAGATGGCATAGAGAAGATTTTTAGACTGAATGGGAAGTTGGATCAATGTCCGTAAGAAAAGGAAGAAAAACATCCTACTTTCAGGAAAAGATAAAAAGAGGCAGAGGTAAGGTGTAGTAGGAAAACCAAAAAAAAGGTAAGGCATTACCTACTGGGTATGTGTTTATTTATTTATTTATTTATTTTAATTGAGGGACTTTTACAACTCAGTTAGATGCAAAATGCAAACTTCTCTTAAATGGCTGAAGAAAACCACTTTCTCTAAGCTGGGTTTACGATTTCTCTGGAAAGAAGTCATATCTGTAGGCTAGCAGAAGAAGCATTATCTTATTTTTACTTCTAACCTTCAACCTAAAAACACATTTATTTCTCAAAACTCACTTATAAAGTATGTCAGGAGCAGGACTATGTGCCCAAATGAAGAACTCAAGGTCAAGACATGATATAAGTTTCTTATGTGCAAGCCGTAGCATTGGAACAAAACCAGTCATTGTTAATTAAGTCAAACATGCATCCAAAATGCTGAGGAAAGGCAAAGAAAGGAGTCTGTGTAAAACAAGCTGGTTGGGATAGATGGGGTCCCTTTCAGCTTCACTGTTCTTTTGAGTCTGTGCCAAAGGGTATACTTGAGCCTCTTCTTAAACCAGAGATAGACGTGGATTCGTGGGGAGAAGTAATAGAACCGTGTGAGCAGTAGGTGCTGACTGGCACAACTTACGTTCCCACCTGGGACAGAAAGATGAGTGGCAGGTGTTCCTCTATTGTATCCTGGTGTGTTTCATTGTGAAAGGTCATAATGTGCGACGGTTCCATTAATATCTACATTCCCCGCTAGGGTATCATCTCCATGAGGGCAGAGGCTGTACTGACTTTTACTCACCATTTCATCTCCCCGATGCCTAGCACAGTACCTAGTATATCACAGGCTCTCTGTAGATATTTCTCAATGTGAGAAGAGAACTAAGGGGCTCTAAGAAAATAAAACCAGTCATTCAAAATGACTAAGTCTCTAGAGTTGTCAAATTCATAGAGACAGAAAGTGGAAGGGGCTGGCGGGAGAGAGAATGGAGAACTGGTGTTCGAAGGGTTCAGAGTTTCACTTTGGAAAGATGAAAAAGTACTGGAGTTGATTGGTGTGATGGTTGCACAATAATATGAATGTATTTACTGCCACTTAACTGTCTACTTAAAAATAGTTAAAATGGTAAATTTTATGTTATGTGTATTTTGCCACAATAAAAATAAAACGAAAAGAACGACTTTCCTGAGGAAGGAGGGGGGCTATTCTAGTGGTGTCTCAGAGTTCACCTAGCAGGGGAGCCTCTGATATGTAGGAGCGGGGTTCACGGGGAGTGTAGACAGATAAACCGACACAGAATTTGCTGGTGAAAGGAGGCTCCTCAGGTTGTGATTTGAAAAGACATTTATCCAGTCCAAGCGCTTCATTAGAGATGATAACTAGGCTGCTCTCTCTTCACAAAGTCTATCATGTTTCACTCAGAGATGGGAGGTCAGTTTACTGATTCCTGTCATGGGATGGGCCTGTGCCCAGTTTAAATAGACAAGTGGTTTCAAGTTCTCTAACGCTTGAGCCAGGCCCCGCTTTACCTCGCTGTGGGTTTTCTCAAGTCGTCTCTCTGACGTTGAGTTTGAGGCCTGGAAAAAGAAAACCAATGACTAACCGAAATCTTTGGCTTCTCTGTTTTGAAGGCCCAGGGGCAGGGGGCAGGCATTTTGCCCGTCGATGGAGCCGGTGAGGCTCAGCTACCTCGGGACCGGCCTGGGCTCTCCTCTGGCCAAGAGCGCGGTGTCCAAGGCCTGCCCCTGCCTGCGGACACGCTTTCTGCAGAAGAACAGGAGCGTGTCTCTCCCGATGACATCTCCTTGCCTCCACTGCCAGGGAGCCCCGATTCCCCGCTCGCACCGTCCGACATGGAGGTAGAAGAACATGCCAGCCCCTCCCGCAGCCTTCACAGGAGCAGCGACAGGATGCAGATGGGGGCCAGTGGTCCAGGGGAGGCCCAGGAGTGTGGCCTTCCTCCGCCTGCTGCTTTTGCCGATCCTTGCAGTGATGAGAGAGAAACATTTTCAAGTCATTTTGAGAAGCCTTCCCCCCAGTTCAAAGCTGAGCCCCCGTTCACCTCCAGAGGGTTTCTGGAACAGAGCACAGCCACCAGCAAAAGCCACGCTGACCATCCTGGGAGCATGCCGAGTGGAGTGCATGAGCGAGCTTGCCAGCAGCACCCGCGGGCTCGGGAAGGTGTGCTAGAAACCCGGGAGGAAATGCATGCTGCTAATAACGGCACTAAAACCCAAGACAGGCTGCATGCTTCCCCCGACGCGCTCCCGGGCCTCGGGTTTCAATTAGGCCCCGGCCGGGTCTATCAGAGGCAAGTGGTTTCCCAGGAAGAGATTAAAAGTACATCAGCAAGGAACAGCGTGGTCAGCCTAGCTGGCCAGGCACCCAGTTTCTCCAGGCTCCAGTCTAATGTCACTGTCGTGGAAGGTTCTCCAGTGACTTTGGAAGTTGAAGTAACAGGATTTCCAGAGCCTACACTGACATGGTGGGTAGCCTATAATGACGAGCCTTAACCAGAAACCAATTGAATCACTGAGGGAATCCTTCGTGGGCACTAACTTACAGGGGCAGGGACCGCTGATTAATATTCGGCAGCACCGCAACTCTGCATGATGCAACCTCTCACCAACCCCCAACTCTCATCTGAGGAGCAGCATGGCTAATCCCCTGAAGCAAAAAAAGTAACCATATAAAATAATAACTTAACAAACTCCAAAAGCACTGTGACTTCCTTGTGCTCTTTTTGTATCCATTTAACATTCCACATTTCTAAAGATGGTGAGTTGAGATGCTTTGCATAAGCACGACATTTTCTTGGTTTAACATCCCTTACTCAATTAAAAACAAACAAAACAAAACATAAGAAAGTGGTTTTCCCCTTTTCTTTCGTTTGTCTCTCTCAACTTCCTTCTCTTCCCAGCAGTCACTCATGTCACTTTTGCAGTCCTTGTTTGTTTCACTAAGATTTCTTTTTATACATTTCTTCAATGTGAGAGGTGGAATAAAAATATTTCTTTCACAGTTACTTGCAGTGACAGGTAATAAACCCATTTTTGAAAGGTGGTTCAATAACTGACCTGAAAACAATACGATTTCACTCTGGAGACATTATTATTTTTCAGCCTATTTGTTTTAATAAGAGTGAACTGCAGAATACAGGTTTTGAATCACATACTGTTGCTATGAAAGCAGTTCTAACTTTCTCAATACTTGGGTTACTTTTAAGCATTTTAGAAAATTTTCAACCTTAAGCATATTTATTTAAGGACAAAGTTATAAATTGGTGGGAACGAGTTCATGTTTCTAAACTATGATAAGTAAAATAGCATCTATTTATCATAATGTTTAAGTTGATATTAAGTGATCAGTTTCAGTAATTGTGTGTGCCCACTGGTGGTACTTGAAGTGTGAGTCGGTTATCTAAAGAATTTATGAGAAAACTTTGGTTTCTCAGATTATTAAAAGAAATTGCACTTGTGCTACAGTGCAGCATTTATGCTTTTTGTTTTACTTTGTTGTTTTTACAATTGCATGGTTTTTTACAGATCAGGAATTTCATATTTATGAACTTAAAAGATATTTAATTCATCATTAAATATCAGTTTACCCCAAAGAAAAATGTTGTCTGAAGTGTTTCTTATTTTTGTCCACATAACAAATAACTTGGTTAGTCACATATTCTTGAAGAATGATTGCAACAATAATACTGAAGGACTATTGTGAGAAAACATCTTACCCTCAGATTTGCAATTTTACTCCATTAATAACTGGCGAGCTATCACACATTCTTAGGATACTTGGAAAAATGCAAAATTATTGCTTAGGCCATGAGAACGGAAAACGATTCAGATTTGTCATCACTTCTTGTGTAGAAGAATGTGGGTCTTGATAAGTAAAGAATCTAGAATATACAAAATAAATTATTTGCTTTATAAAAATATGCAGCTAAGTGCTCATATTCATAGGAAACTTTTAGAAACATGTTATTAATAGTAATAATCCAATTGCATAAATGCCTTTTATAATTAAAAACAATTTTCTCCTAATGAGATTAATCCATTAATTAAATGAACTCATTTCTCCAGGAAATGCTGTATAAGTACCTTCTTCTAACACAGCACATTGGTATTTTCATGTGGATCGTATGGGATGAATATAATGGGGCAGATGAGGGTCACTCCAATGCAGATTCCAGACACCACAAACTACTGTTCCATCACAGCTGAAAGAATGAGGGGAGCCAAATAGGAGGGTACCATTTCCCATTCTAGATAATTGCTATGAGCAAATGGAGCCCCCGTGTGACCAGATGGACTGCTTTTTTGAGAGTAGTTGGATATCTGAATTCTCACATGCAACATTCCATTTGTTAACTGCTGTCAAAAAATGTGCTTTTTAAAAACATGGTCTGAGCCGATCAGGCACTTCTCTGGCCACCAGCTGCCAACCTCTGCTTGAAGGATAAACAGCCCCTTTGGAATCTGTGGTAGCTGCAAAGTCCCTGCCCCTGCAAGAGAATATTGCTGTGGTGATGGGCCTCTGCAATGGTTTTTAGAAATTGGATATAATGTGAATAAACAGTGATCCTGATTTTTAAAACTGACTCTCTGCTTCAGGTACAAGAAGGGCCAGAAATTGCCTGCAGATGGACACTTACAGGTTTTACACAAGGAGACGAGACATGCGGTGTTCATTCCGAAGGTATGCGGGGCAGACGCAGGCCTCTATGTGGCTCGGGCCCAGAACTCTAGTGGCATTCTCTCTTCCAATGTCATCCTCCATGTGACAGGTAACCGCAGGCCGCCAATCACAAGGATAAACTGGATCATGCTGTGTGTCATCTATGTTAGTGTATCGCTCATGTACTGGCTACTCATACAGTAACTGTGGGGTTGGCACCCATGGACGTCATTCTCGCCTAAAGGACAATACTGTTGTTTATTTTCCTGCGTTTCCCACAAAGCACCCCACCAACTGTATCTCCCTTCCGGCCATATTGCTTGTTTGGCTAATACCACTGTTCAGTGAAATAATCCAGTTTTCTTTAGTTCTTTAATCTATTTGAGGAGCTTAGAAAATCACTTGCCTTGGATAAGGGTACATTTTTGTATTCTAGAGAGAGATGTGTTCAATATAAAACAGTAAAATTATGCTGTTTGTTCCTTCCTAATTTAGGAGCATGCAGATCAAGGCTCATAGCATAGAGATGTGAGTCAAATTTCAAATCCAATTGTTTGAAAAATTATTTTTAATTGTACACATATACATCTCTTTGTGGAATCACAGTAGAAATATTGAACTGAAGTTGTAATTTTTGTTATTGCATTACGTGTCCTTTAATTTTGTTTTTCATGTCTTGATCTCATTTATTGAAATATATCCTATGTGGTTTCAACATAGTCCACATTCCTGAGTCTGAGGAGGCTGCCATAAGTAACCGCTCCTCATGTTGATCTCACAAGCTTGCCGTTGGAGAATAGATGTGCAACTCCAACTTTAAATGGAGTGTCAAAGCTCCAAAGCTATGCTTGTCATAGAATAAGATGGAACACAGGCAACGCGGGGGGACCAGCATTATTCCTGTCATTCCATTGGCAGGTGTGAGGCAGCCCTGTTTCGCCTGCTTCTAGTTTTGATTCTGCTGCTGACCATGTTTGCAGCCTATGGTAAGACATATCAGTGCCTCAGTTTCCCATTTGGAAAATGGGGTCATCATCTACCTCTTGGACAATTGAGAGTTTTCATTTCATATCTTATAAAAATCTATACAATTTAAAAAAGCATGCTATGAAGACTAAAGGTAATTGTATTGTTTAATGTAATTTGTTATCACACTGCCTCCTGTCTACTAGTTCTCTCTCAGATGTTGTTTCTTCAGAATATTAAATTAAGGGAGTGATGTTAGTATGTGCTCTCCAACTCTTCACATATGAGAAAAATGACATTCTATGAATTGGAGCTTAAATTCCTTTCTGATTTCTTAAGACTATGTCCTTTGCAGAGACTTGAAATTAAATTCAGGAGGATGCATTTAGTATGTTCTGGGGGTGGAAGGACAGTATGGAGTAAATTACATAAGATGAATTCTATTCTTTCTTATAAGTGTCATTGTGATATTGAAGAATGTTTTATGGCTTTATGAAATATATTACTTAGAAAAGAGGATCATCGTTTTAGCTCCTTTAAAAATTAGACCTAAATAAGAGATGCATTTTTTCTTTTTAGATTTTAAAAATGGTTATGTCATGCTAGAGTAAAATCTTGAGTTGAAAGAATAATTCATTATAGTTTTTTGGAGAAGGGAAGGAATTAATCATGTTGCTATAACACTGTCTACAAATAATAAAATATTTAAATGTAATATATTCAAGTTGATATTTAAAAGTTACTGAATTTACCTGAAGATATGAAGTGTGTGGTTGAGTAAAAAGTTGCATTTGTTTTCTTGTGCTCCATATTTAATTTAATTAAAATATTAAATCTCATAATTTTCTTTCAATTTTTGACATAAACCTATTAAAAGTTTATATACACAGCATCTCAGGAAATAATGGTCTCTTAACTCTCCTCTCCTTTTGGTCCAGCTCCAAGGATTTTGCATATCTCGCCTAACTGCTATTCCCATGTTGAAACTAAAGAGTAAAATCTACTCATGTCCAAAGCAGATAGATAGGACCAGGTAATAAATTCTTGCCCCACCCTCTGTCTCGTCTTGATAATTTAGTGGGATCTCCTTTCCCATTTTGTCAGCTTGTTTGAATCTGTGGTATTTAGGGGATGGGGACTTGCCGATTTGCTTCACCTGTTGCGTGCTAGTTAATATTAATCCTTCAGGGAGCAGGGTGGGACATACATTTATTCATGGTGTATGAACAAATAAGGTGTGTAAAGCCCCTGCTATATTTGATGTATGTATAAATATAAGATTGTACATATATGCATACACATACATACACATACATACAGTTCAAATGTTGGAAAAAGATAGTGCTGATATTCATGATATATTTCAGATAGCTCTCTGTATATCTCTGTGTCTATCTGTGTACCTACCTACCTATTTTTCTGGGCTCTCAATTGACTAGTTAATTCTCACAGCAGTAAAGAATAATTAGCTATTGGTTATATTTATTTTTAATATATTTTCATTGATTTCAGGGGAGAAGGGAAAGGGAGAATCATTGATTGGCTGCCTCCTGCATGGCCCTCACTGAGGATGGGGCCCGCAACACAGGCATGTGCCCTCACTGGGAGTTGAACTGTGACCTCCTGGTTCATAGGTCCACACTCAACCACTGAGCCATGCTGGCCGGGCCAATTGGTTATATTTAAATTTCAAAGATTTCAGCATGATTTTCCTTTTTGCTAGGATTTCTGTCTTGATCAAAGAATTCTCCTTATGAAAATACGAACTAAAATTATCGGTTAAAATGGAAAACATAGGAACTTCAAATGATGACCCTATTTTAAGATATAATTATGATTTTTGCCCATTTACTTCTGGAAAAAATTCTGGACAGTTAGTAATATCAGAACAGTTTTTCAACAAGAAAATGAAAATGAAAGATTAAAGAGAATATATACTTGACAACTTAAAGGAGTGCAGCACAAAGTGTGTGTTAAGCTTCCTATAAGCAAAATCACAGCGTTTCCCAGTTCTTTTTCTAATAAAAGTATGTATAAACATTTGGTTGTAAAGCTTTTCTCACACTGAATTCCAGGGGAAATGTACTGTACAAATCCTTACATTTGAACCTCTGTATATTTTATAATACCTAAAATAGTTGGGGGGGAAATCTGAAAAAAAAATGTTAGCTATTTCATTCAATAATGTTAACATATAGTTAAGACACAGGCTTAAAATAGATTACGGTGAAACCTTCTAACTGCTTCACTTAAGTTTAAATTCCTTCACATAGTACATGAGACCCTTGCATACCTGGCCTCCCCTTCCCAGCCTCTGTTCCCATCCCTTCTGACCTCTCCTCCCCGCAAAGCAATATTTAACTTCATGCTCTTTCTCTCCCTAGTCCTTTCTCTCCCGAACTCCCGTACTATCTTCTACCCTATCTACATGTAGCTTAACGGCTGCTTACATTTTCAGTTCCATTTGAGACACTTCCCCCAGGAAGCCTTCTGACCCCTCGGGTGGATGCAGATGTTCCTGCTATGTGCACTGTCAGCACCAGAGCTGCCCATCCTCATGCCCATCAATGCCCCGCATCAGCGTTGCATGTTCGAGCATCTGTCTCCTCTGTCTCCATCTGTCTCCTCTGGCGAGATCTTTATCAGCAGGATCTTGACCTCCCTGTTCGTCATTATATTTCCAGCAGCCAATATTATATGTTTTGAATTGTTGTCAGAGGTAAACAAGATAAACTTCGCTTGTTTTTTTCTTTTTGGAGAGAGGGGGTGGGGGATATAAAAAGAGAACAATATATTTGTTCCCCAATTATTCTTCCTTATTGTGAACATTGCCCAGTCATAATCAGCTTCTAGCCAGGAAGAATGTATAAAACACCTAACCTATAAAACATAAATAAGAACCCTCCCGGTTCTCTGAGTTAGACCCAGATAGATGCTGGCTCTAGTGGTCAAAATAATACTGCAGAGAGAAGAGGCAAAATCCAGGGCCATTGTTCCAACATGTTAGAGCAGATAAAAGCCGGCACAATCATCTTCAGGGGTCAGTGCAGAAGTGGGTGTCTCCACGCTCAGAGACTATGTCCTACCTGCCCAACCAGAAGTTATGAACTTCTTTAGAACACTCAACATATTATCAATGTTCTATTGCAGTGGGGGCTCAGTAATCTGGTTGTGAACAGATTTTATTTGAAGCCAGCATTTCATTCATATGTGTACTTGAATTCCAAATGAAGGAAGGAAATAATGTGGCACCTTGTTCCATTTTGTTTTTATTTATGACCATTCCTTACTAGAAATTGCTATATGAAACTTTTTTATCCCAAATCCTCACCTGAGGACATGTTTTTATTGATTCTATAGAGAGAGAAGGGGGGGGGGGCAGAGAGAGAGAGAGAGAGAGAGAGAGATTGGATGGATTGCCTCCCATACATGCCCAACCTGGGATCAAACCCACAACCTGGGTATGTGCCCTGACCAGGAATTGAACCCACAACCTTTCAGTTTACCAGAGCCCCACAGGCCAGGGCACTATTGGACGTTTTTTGACATTCCTGTTGTATCTACAATATTTTAAATGTATCCATGAAATAGGCTAGTTGAAACAAAATAAAATATTCCCTCCTAGTATGCTCTGATACTGTGTTTGTCAAAGCAAATGCCAAAGCATGATACACTGTTTTCCATTAATAATAAGCAGAATCTTGAGCTACATCGGAAAGCCAAAAGATTTGCATTCACGAGTGAAAGTGTCCTGCTTAAAGCAACAATTCAGTTTCTCTGCTTTTATCACGAGATGAGATTTGGATGTTATCATGTTTGTCTAAGTTCAACCTCAAATGGGAAGTAAAAAGCTACTGATTTGGCCTTTACCCATGAATCCCCACACCACCGCTCCTGGTGTGGTGAGAGTGTGCGTCACATCATGAGTCACCCAAGCATCGGTGGTGAAGGTTGGATGCATGACATGCCTCCAGATGAACAGTCTTTGGTTCTTGAGTCTGATTGGCCAAGTAGCTCTTCCTTTTGTTCAGAGGATATTTCCTCCTTTGTATAAAATGAGAGATTTTTATTTTATTTTATTTACTCCTTAAACTAGGAAGATTTATTTTTCCTCCTTTTATAATGGAGGATTCAAAAATCCTTATTATTACACCATAAAATTAACTTTCTCTCCTCCTTAAAGGACAGGGAACAGAAAGAATTGTATAAACAAGAATGTTTGAGTTCATATACTTCCCTGTAGCACAATAAAAAAAAAAAATAGGTGAAGCTGAAACATATTTTAACCGTGGGAGTAGCTGGAAAACATTGATCCAACCTGATTTTTCTTTAAACTAGAACAATAATAGTTACATAACTTGAAGTTTTCCATCTGTATTTGGATGGCTCCCTGCTATGGCTTTTTTCCCCCATTTAGAACCCACATAAGTCAATACTTGTGAAATCCAGCTCCGGAGATAGCTAATGAAATACACCTTTCCCTTTGTCATTCAACAGCTGTTCTCTTCCAAGAATGTTATTGATTCAAACAACTTCAAAATGACATTTTTATCTTACACTGGCACTAAAAATCATTTAATAAAATCTTTCAGAGATAAGAATTCAAAAGATAAACTATAATGAAGCATACTTTTAAAAAAAAAGAAACATGCTTTACTCATGGCAAATAGTCTCTAGCCCATATTATGCTAGTGATGCTAGAAAGCCCCCTTTCTGTGTAATAAGTATTATGCAAACCCACACACAGACAGGCAAACTGAACAGCTGGACACACAGTAGGACAACAGTTACCTGGCAGAATGAAAAAGGCTAAAGTGCCCACCTGCTCCACAGCCTTCTCTAGCAGCCATCACCATGCCGGCCCTCAGAGGCCTGCCTTTGATTGAAGTTGATGCAGCTCCAGGCAATGCCTTTTTAAATGCCCGTTTATTCATTTCTATCACTCTTAAGGGAGTAGTAGAATTACTTATCAAATCCTGGTCAGGGTTATCAGATTAAATAAAAATGCCTCCCCCCCCCCTTAAAATGAGAAACTAATGATGATTCTTGTGAGGAAATGGCATCTGTGGGAACCGGAAGGCGTTGGGCTGTGTACCCGAAGTGCTGGGAAATGTAGACAGGAAGCGAAAAATAACCAAACATCTGGGAGAAGAGACTGTCGAATTTGGGCTTCATCCTCCTTCTCAGTGTGAATTTCCTACAGATTCAGGAAACACGTGTGTATGTGGGGAGCCCCTGAGAGGAAGGCAGAGGTCATGACGTGCCTACATGACATTTTTGTTACCCAATTGGAGGACTATACTGGGTAGAACAGGGTGTCTGGTAGTCCCTAAATTCAGTGACTGGTATTCTTACAAGAAGGCATGACAGACATGGAGACAGGAGACACACAGGGAAGGTCATGTGGCCATGGTAGCAGAGGTGGTGACAAGTAGCTGCTGTGAGCCACCCGGCGTGGGAGACTGCAGCCACCGGAAACAAGAAGAGGCATGAGGATTCTTCCCTGGAGACAGCAGAGCCTCTCATGCAGCACCGTGCTGGAAGTCCTAGCTAGTGAGTAAGACAAGCAAGGGAAAGGAAAGTCACACAGATTGGAAAAGAAGAAATAAAACCATCTTTATTTATAGGTAGGATGATTTTCTATGTAGAAAATCCCCCAAATCTACTAAAAAAAACCTCTTGGAAGTACTAAGTGAATATAACAAGTTCATCAAAAGCAGGAAGCCTGCAACAATTGCATCCAGGAGAAAAGCAGGGAGATGGCACAAATAAATCCCAGTGAATCAGCCGTCGCCACAGGCCAACGAACACGGGTTTGTCCCTTTTCTGGAAATGGG